ACTGATCCAACCAAGTGATAATTGTTCCAAAACATTAATTAAATTGTTATACACTTTTTAGAAGTGATGTATATTTAGATGGGGGTTTTGATTTTTTAGAGATTTCATGGTTTTTAATGGTTCAATTGATTTTTTTTTTTGTTGGCAAAAATCTTCAAGAGTAAATTGAACTTGACAAAGATCAAAAGTTTTACATAAAAATAATTTGTACTAAAATTTCTAACATTAGTCCAATTTTTAGTTAATGGATTATAGAATTTTGCAATAACCATTTTTTCAGAAGAATGCCCAATTGCTTCAAATAATAAATCCTCCTCCAATTTATTTTTACCATATTTTTCCACAATAATATGCATATGATAGATAGATAAACAAACACATTTGAACGAAATATAAATTCAAATTAAGAATTTTTGAATAAGTAGTTTAGGCTTAGGAATAGAAATGTAGGAATAGGAATAAGAATAGCATAGAAAATACATATACTTCGTGAAATGTAAGATTTTTAAAAAACAGGAATCATTTAAACAAGACAAAAAGACAAAAACGTCACACCACCTTACTTTTATTAAGACATTGCTGGTCAATGAAAAAGGTGTCCAAAAATTTTGAAATTTTATATATAGTCAGGATTGAGGCTTTGATAAGTGTATGAGATCTTTGTCATCATTGCCTTCTTTTGAATTTGTAAAATTTTGATGTTCCCAGAATATAATTATTAATAAATTCTGATTATACAGTACTTACCAAAAAGTTTCGGACCCCCTAAGTTCATTAATTACGCAAAATACTACATAACATTTACACAAAAAAATTATATTTATTTGTAGCTTAGATTTTCGAGAAACTATATATAAAATTCCAGGCTTTTAGCACCGATAGATCTCAAATAATAATAAATAAAAAATTCCTGATTAATTTTCGAAAATAAAAATTTTGAAGATCAATTTTTTGAATTTTTTGACGGATTTTTTCAACATCAACATTTAAATTTTAAATATATACATTTAAAATTTAATATTTGGTAGGCCATCCATTACTTCCAATGCATGCTTCAATTCTACGAGGCATACTTTCAACTAATTTTAAGTAAACATCATCTGGAATTTTATTCCATTCTTCAACTAAAGCAGCCTCTAATTCTTTCAAATTTTTTTGCCGGTTTTGTTTTTTTTCAAATACGAGTTTCCAATTCATTCCACAAATGTTCAACTGGATTTAGATCAGGAGACTGGCTTGGCCAATTTTCCAAAATTTTTATTTCATTTGTTTTTAACCATTCCTTAACTTTTTTAGCAGTATGAACTGGCGCATTGTCATCTTGGAACAGATAACCTCTATTATTAAAGTCATTGTTTATTAATGGTAGCAAATAAGATTGGAGTATTTTGATGTAATCATGCTGGTTCATTTTTCCATCAACTTTTACTAGTGGTCCTAATCCTTTTCCAGAAAAACAGCCCCAAAACATTACACCACCGTCTCCATGTTTGACTGTGGGGCTCAGATTCTCGATATTGTATCTTGTTCCAGGTATTCTCCAGACACGACCTGGGCCATCATTCCTAAACAAAGTAAACCTACTTTCATCGCTCCATATTACATTTTTCCATTTTCTTATACTCCAATCTTTTCTTTTTAAGCACCAATTCAAACGATTTTGTCTTTGTTCTTCACTAATAAGAGGTTTAGATGCTGGAACACAGGAAAAAATATTGAGATCATGCAAGCTTCTTCTGACTGTGTTTATTGAAACTTTCAAACCAGTTTTTTGATTGAGTTGATTTTTTATTACTTTAGCTGTTTTGTGGTTATTTTTCATGGCAATTTTTTTCAATAATTTTTGATGATCACTATTTAGTATTTTTGGTTGGCCACTTCAAGGCAAGTTTTTAACATCCCCTCTTTCTTCATAATTTTGTATAGTTCGAATAACTGTGGTTTTAGAAAAGCCAAGGATTTTACTAATTTTTGTTTGAAGTATTACCTTTATAAAGACCAATAATTTGACCACGATCAGCTTCAGTTAAATTAGTCATTTTCGTGTTGTTTAAAAATTTATCAAAAAAAAAGATAATAGAATTACGTAGAAAAAAAAATTTTTTTGTTTTTTTTTGAGATTCCAATGATCTTAGACTATCACATATAAAAATTTCAAAACACATTGCTATATAGATTTTGGTGCAATTGTTAAAAAATCACTTGTCAAGATCTTTTATTTTCGAAAATTAATCAGAAATTTTTTATTTATTATTATTTGAGATCTATCAGTTCTAAAAGCCTGGAATTTTATATGTAGTTTCTCGAAAATCTAAGCTATAAATAAATATAAATTTTTTGTGTAAATGTTATGTAGTATTTTGCGTAATTAATGAATTTAGGGGGTCCGAAACTTTTGGGTAAGTATTATTGACATAATCGAAATGCTCTATGCATCAACACTGTTGCTCATTTATTTAACCATGGCAACCAATACAATAGTATAAATTTACAATCTATTATGAAATGATAACATTGCTCTTTATTTAAACACGAGTGACCTATATAGGTATACATGCCATGTGCACAATACATGTTGTTTCAGACATTCCATAATAAAATATTAACAAGACATTATAACATACATGTAACCAGATATTTGAGAATATCTGTAATTCCTGGGATTTAAACTTTTCTCAAATTTCAGACTTACAACTATTGTCAATACACATGGTAGCCTTGACTTGATCATGCCATCATAATCTTCTTCTTCCTTTGGATTTGTTGAAATTACAATGTGCTCAGAATATAAGTCTTTTATCATCACTAATAAATTCTGATTATATTGTTATCATCATTGCACATCATCAGTGCTTTATTGGATACTAAGTAGAGCTTGGATCCGGATATTAAAACGGATATCCGGATACTTGTCCGTTTTAAATTATAGCAATCCGGATATCCTATCCGTTTAAATTATAGCAATCCGGATATCCTATTCATTTGTATTATTAATATTAATATTATTGTGATAGAAAAACGGGTTTATCGAAAGACCGTCCAATCATATGATGGCATGTGACATAGCCTTTTTCGTTTTCGTTTTTCTTTTTTTTTTGTTAATATTAATATTAATATTCGTATTTTTAATTAGTATTTTGTCATCATTATTGTCTATTTATTTGTTAATTAGTTAGTGGGACAAAAATAATTTAATTTTGACCCGAGTAAAAATATATCTTTCTTGTTTAAGAACAAAAATAAATCAAAGAATTAAATAAGTAAAATAATTTAATTGGTATTAGATCAACCAAATATTATTATTATTATATATACTAATACTAGAAATCCATTTCTCACCTTACAGATATTCGGATATCCGTTTCTCGCTATACGGATATCCGGATATCCGTTTATCAAAATCTCTCATCCGTATATCCTATCCGTTCATCAAATCTCTATCCGGATCCAAGCTCTACCGGTGGGTAAACCTGCGGGTCACCCGGGTGAAGTTTTTTTAGACGGGTCCAATCTCTAGTAATGCGATTATAATTATCAGTTTTATAATATCCCACTTGTTATCTTAAGTGATATATAGAATTACCTCATATAAAAATAGTTAATACGAAACTCATTTACATCAGATCTACTATGGAACCCAAGAATTATAGCACCATTAGAAGTATTTTGAAGAAATAGCAGGGTGAAAAAATTGCTCCTTATATTTTCAAAATAAATGATACTCAGACACTGGAAGCTTATCTAAGTAAAGAAAGGATTACCTATGAAATTTACCAAGAAAAAAAAAAAAATAATAAGTGATAATAATTTAATTTTATAATATCTTTTTTCTTTAAATTTTAATTCTGATACAATCATTTTGTGAATCACGTTTTGTAACTGGCATTATCACAGGTTGATGAGAGAATGATGAGACTAAATTGCAAATTCTATAATTATCAGGTGATAAACCTTGATAAAATTCCATTTTTATCTGGCTGATCCAATCCTTTAAAGAGTGCATCAGGTAAATTATTACCATCAAGTTTTTCTATGTAACGTGAGAATGTCTTTGTCAAGAACTTGGCTTAATATGCTGAACTTATTTTGAAAATTTTAGAATCATCTGATTAACAATGGTCTTCTACAGGAAAACGATTTATAATGTTTTGAATCTGAATATATGGTGATTGATAAAAGTGGTGCAATAGTAAAGATTTTTTCTAGAAAAATTATACTGAAGTTCATGGCTTATCAAGCCCAGGCAGAAGTGCCAATAGAATAACCCAATCAGTTACATTCTTACCAGCTGAAATGAGTTATAAACCAGTACACAGGGATTTTCTAATGGTCTAGAAGAAGATAACAAATTGAAATCCTTTGAAGTATTATACCTTCAGAAAGTTATGATACCGATTGACATCAGAAATTCAAATTATGAGTCCAGGGGATTGACTTGTGTGATACTTGTCAACGTTTTTGAAACGATTTACACTTCAATGGGAAGAGGCTAGTGATTTACTCAAAAAGTTCAAAGAATATTTGTTCAAGGCCAAATTAGAAAAAAATTATAATAAAATACAAATTAGTTGAACAAAGAAAACTAGTTATTCTCAAAATATTGCAGTATTGATATGTACTAGTTATGTTTAGTCAAGAATAAAATTTGAAAATTTTTTAAAAATTGGCCACATGTGTTCGTGGAGTTACCACTAATATTACATATATGAAATTGGAAATCTATATATAATTATTCCTTTTGATTGTCTAATTTAATTTTCACATGTACACGACAGAACATTGTGATTTCTTGATAAATTTCTTACAAATTATAATAATTACACTAAACAAAAATGACATATAAGTTTTATCTATTATTTTGTGAACCTGGTGGTAAAAAACATCTTTCACCTTGTGATTCATTATTATTCCCCCACCATTCTGGAAACGGCACCTATTATTATTATTATTATTGCCATGAAAAAGACATTGAAAAAAATTTTTTAAATTTTGTCAATTAGTTAGCATGATGTGATCCAAGTTGGACTAATGATATTGGCGACTGACTGGATACTTACATTAAGCACACCACTTAATAAAAAGAAAATCACCATTGTAACAATTTGTGATCCACTATCCAATGAAGCTGATAATACGTAATTATATCTATTTTCGAAATTGAAAAGTATTAATAAATAAAGGTTGTGTAAAAACTTGATATTTTTATTATAATTACATTGTTACTTACTTTGCCCACCACTAAGAAAAAATTTCATATAAACAAATAAAATAAAGTTGATTAATACCATTTACAAAAAAAAAATTTTTACCAAATACGTTAACACCTATCCTCCTCACAAATTCACGCATATATCAATCAAACTATTATTTATTTACCTTATGATGATACCTATAAGCCCAAAATTGACTCAAGAAACTAGCTATAAGCCCCATAGTTATGAAATTGGTATATGTACCAGGTATTGCACTCATACCATGAGAAATCAAAGGTAAAGTGATTAGATGAAATTTTGCATTTGGAAATTTTTTATGTAGAAAGTAGATTGGAAATGGTAATAGAAATCCTATTGGGAAACCCCATAACAGAAAATGATACATTGAGTCCTAAAAAGATCAAATGAAAAAAAAACCGATTAATTAAATTTTTAAAAAAAGGAAAGTCCTGTTACAACAATTACTGATTGATCGATTGGATAATTACATTTCCAAAAGTTCTAGCAGGTCCAACTAACCCCCACACAATCGAAGCAGTATTAAAAACTTGAGATCGATAACCGGTCCATTGACCAGTCGGATCACGAGAAGTGCCATCCAAAAACATACGTTTTGCATCCAAAATAAGCTGTAGTGTCCAATAATTTATAAATACTCCTACCAAAGTCCCCCAAATTTGTGCTACGAACAATGCTTTTGGTGGTATTTTCATATATAATCCTATATATATATATATATATATAATACAATTGCTTTTATTTTCTTTTTGTAATTATGACGATAATGATGATTATTATTGCTATTACTATTTACCCAGTTTTAAATCTGAAACAAATGATAAAGATTGATGCATGGCCATATAACTATATGACTTGAAATATACATTGGCAATTGGTCTTCCCGGAAATATGTACCTAATAATGATGACGTAATGAATTAATATAAATATAAATGTATATGTAATTTTATAATTTAAAATTGCCCACCCGCAAATCATTTCAGATATAACATTAAGACCAACTTGATTATTTGATATTGCCTGAATTACTCCTAAAAAAATAACAAAACAACAATAACATTACTACTTGTTAAAAAACAAATAATTATTATTCTTATCAACAACTTTATAATAACAATAATAATAATTATTATTAAAGCTACCTATTGGTAGTACTATAACACAAGCAAGGGCTACAGCTAATAACAGTCCCCACCACGGCAAATCTGATCCAGACACGTAACAAAGCGTGATTGCAATTGACAACATCGTTACAAATATAGAAGCATACCATAAATTTGGTATATCTAAAAATTTTATAAATTTAAAAATTAAACCAATTTTCGCGCCATCTTTATCATTTATTTTTATAAATATATATCCCTTATCCTTCCAGTCAATCAATATCAAATACTAACCTTCATACCTCTTCAACATTCTATAATGAATATCATCACCCTCATGCCTACTAGCCCTGAACCTACTCCAAATCTCATTTCCATAAAATAACATAACATGACTAATAGCTGATGAGAAACCTATAAAAGAATAGAGATATCCAAAGGCAAATGTGAGACTCAAAAACACAGGTCCATAAGAGTTATAAGCCTCTTCATTTAAAGAATTATCTTCTTGATTTAATATTGCTGTTTGATTATATCTTGTATATTTTTTTTTTCCATGTAAAAAATAATTTAATATATAATTTAATGTTGAATTAAATAATTAAATCATTGTTGAATATGTGTGTATGTATCATGATAAATTTTTATAATTATATATATTATTAACCTTTCCCCATTTTTATTTAAAGAGTATGTTGCCAATAATGGAAATCTTCGTGCATCCCTAAATAATTATTGAATTATATAATATTTATTTTTAATGCTTTCAGCAAAACCAAAAAAAGGTAAAGTAAATTTTTTCGATATCCTTACAATACATTATAATACCACAATAATGGAGTAATGACCCACGCACTTAATAATACACCAGCAAAATAATTAATCTGTGCCCACCTGAACAACAAAAAACAGATTAATTGAATACGTAAATATATTAGAATTACAAAAATCATAAAGCCCACACGCATGTGTGTGCGTGTGAACACTGAATACACACCAGGGAGTGTATAAAGGACCCGATTGTCCAATAGAATTCCAATCTAACGAAAAAGTCAAAAAGCCTAATCCTCGATACCCACTACCAAATCTGACTATATTTTCATTCATCGGTACGATTAAGCACAACACAGATATACTGGTAAGCAATGTGAACATGTACTGTGGAAGAAATTGCCAAATGAATACTAGGGTGAAAGCTATATAAAAGAATCTTAATTTGTCTCTTGTGTCCTTGGCGTTTCCATGTAATGTTGTGAATAGACTGGCAAATACCAAATTTGATGGCCACTATATATATAAAGTGTGCGAATTGATTGATTAATTATGATTATTAATTGTGTAATGATGATTATAAATTATATTAATTAATTAATTTGAGTAGTATGGTGGTAATCAGTACTATTGTTTAATTACTATTCCGCAAATATTAAATACAACATACCAACATATTAGCTGGACGAACAAGAAGAAAAGAAATTGAAAAAACATTTAAATATAATGATAATTTTAAGTCAAAACAACTTGATCTATTAACCTCTATGATTATTGTTAACACACCATATGACACTTGTCCTCCTCCTCCTTCTCCTCAATTAAATAGTGATCCATTATTATTAAGACCAATGACTGATAGTGGAGTTATGTTTGATGCTTTTGTGACTGGTACAGATACGGTAATGTAATATGGATGGATGATGGATGGATATTAAGCCAACCAATCAATTACACTATATTTGTTTGTATTTATATAGACTGTGAATACTTTTTGTTTTACTAAACATGTCTCCGTTCCTCATCAAATATTTCTAGAGACATTCCATTAATTTACCTACTTTTAATAAAAATGCAATAATTTGATTTAATAAAAATTAACATTATTAATATAAATAAAAGATTCTTCCTAGTCTCTATCTACATTGTTCATGGTTAAAGATAGATATGAAAGTCAAGCAGGCCGTGACAGTTTTTTTTTTCATTGTTATAATAGCAATTAAGGTTTCTGGCCGAAACTGTTTCTATTAGTAGCCGAAATCGCCCAAATATTTTGGGCAAAAATTATTCTTTTATAAGCCCAAACTACTTTTTGTTATTAGCCGAAATTGGGCGAAATTATTTTAATGTTCATGCTTATAAAAAATGTTGAGAAGCCCAAATTGCCCAAACTAGTTTGGGCTTTGAGAAAACAGTTTGGACCAGAAACCTTAATAGCAATAGTGATTAATGATTAATTTGTAATCAATGCCTTTACTTCACCTCAAAAAATAAACTCGTCCTTTTTTCACCTGTCCTTTTCAAGATTTGCCCACGTATAATAGAAAGAACAACGAGATAGGTGGTAATGGCACAGTGACCATCCTTTTTTCACCTATTCTTTTCAAGAATTGCTAATGAATTATAGAAAGGGATTGGTTGTTGTTCCTTGACCGCGCCACGTCCATCCAATGTTAGTTAACCGTCCTTTTTTATATTATTTTTCAGAACACCCGTACCATCATCATCCATATTAATGGGCCAAATTTGAAAAAGATGGGGACGGGCAGATGTGGCCTGAACCCGTCCCCTGTCCTTTTCCAAATCCCTTAAAAGGGTTTTTTATAGTACAAATTGTTCCCTTTTGTGCAATCTGCCATATTATAAAACTAAGAAAAACCATACTGGGAAATTATTAGATATCGTTTCTAAACATCCTTTGCCTTCCCATTGATCACACGACGTTGCCTTCTTTGAACCTCATTAATAATGTTGGTATTGTTTGTGTGATGATTCTATTAAAAGTGATCCCATTTGTTGCATTGACATTTCCATCCATTGTTTGATATGAATAATAAAATTGAATTGAAAAATTACATCATGACTTTTACGAAGTTCTAAAAAAGTTGTAGTATTTAAAATGTTTTCTGTAGAAAAACAAAAGTTGGTTATTACTCTCTGAATGACTTTTGATAGTTGGCTGCGAATGAAATTTTCTTATTTTTGATGATGATAATTTCTAATATATGAATTAAAGTGTGACCTTTCCCTCAAATTTAATAAAACCAAGAACCTTTTTAGTACAAATCTATGATGGTACTTTTAAAAAAAAAGCACAGTCACATTCAATTCATCAATAAATATGGATCCTTTTTTAAAAAAAAATTCATAAAGAAATTCTTCTGGGATGCTTTGCGAATTATATACTGTAATTTTTTAATTTCAATCACAACCACCTACTTTTCAATCTATTGAGGAAGATAATATACTATTACTTTTAGGTGAGTACTTTTATTCATTTCATTGCCGCTAGTCCATTCTTGAGTCAATGACACAAGATTTATACCAGTGTTATATCTGAACAATTTTTCTTTTTTTATATCAAGTAATGTTGGGTCAACAACAGTAGGGTCTAGTCAAAAAAGTCGTATAGTGATGCCAGCAAAGTGTAATAGTAACATTCCGCAAAGTTATCAAGATGAAATATACAAAAAAGTAAATTTTGTTAAAAACCATTATACTTGCTATTTCTTCTTCCTGTTGTTTCTGTTATTGCTGTTTATGAACATAGGAGAATAATATCAAACGTGTTTGAGGGGAGGAAGCTGACAAAGAAGATAATGCCAAAGGCATCTGATGATGATGATGAATTTCTTGAATTTAAAAGGTCCACCTGATTGCTTCCATATTAAGTAATAGCTTCTTACTGATACACAATTATCCAGAAACATGAAATGGGATGCAACTAATAGATAATATGAATGGGAGAGGGAAGGCATAATTAATTATCATTAATCAAAAAATCCGATCGACCATTTACCATAAAAAAACTTTCTTTAATTTGACATCAAAAGAAAAATGACCCAATTCATCATGGAATAAATATTCAGATGATTTATGAATTTACAAATGAATTATATTTCATTTAACCAAAACACCATCTTTCCAGAAACTGTTTCATTGGTTTTTGTGGTGATTTTTATCAATCTGTTCGTGAATAGACTTGATGACATTTTTAACGATTATAAAAAATTTGGCGTAATAAAATAAGTTGTCATTTTAGAAATCAATTCATTCCAGTGAGGCTTTAATTTACTTTTTGGGACATTCTTTAGTTAGACCGGTTTTGTTGTTTTTTTATTTGATCCAAAATATTCGTTATCAATGTCAGTTTTTTTATAATTCTAATAATTATAGTTCTAAAAAGGGTTCTCAATCTCCAATATCCCTTTGCAAAAATGTTCAATATTGTATATGATGAGTCAGCAGATAAGGCGAAGAGGATGAAGTATCATCAGATATAGTGACGGTAACGATGGTGGTTGATGATGATGGTCAAAAAAATAAGAGTTTTTGATTATTTTGATCATTCTTTTTTTGTAAACATTCAAACATCTCTCAGAAACAAGCGGATAATCTTCTTCGATTGATGGTTTTTGTAAGCTAAATAAAACTCATCGGCTTTGTTTTGTTAATACAAAATTAGCTTGTAGATTTAACAACTATTTATATTGTTTGATTTCTTGTGAATTATCTTCAAAGTTGATGGTTTTCTGAAAGGGCAGAAATTTCTTTTACTATTTATTCTATCAATCAAAAATAAAAAATTTATTTATTAGTCGTTCAGAATTTCCTTAGCTGGCCGATATCACTAGTTTATGCTTTATCATTTCATCAATCCCCATGAATGCAAAAGCAAAGATAATCCCAGTGATAAAATCCCATTCTTTTTTACGCATTCAGATCTTAAACTCGACTTTTGTCCGATTTATTACATCGTTAATTTGCCCATTTTCACAATCAATGATTAGTTTGATATTTTGTCAGATTTGTGATTGATTATATTGTTATTTTCGCATCGATACGAGTTTGTTTTGTGTCCAAGAGTTTATCTTTCTTTTACCTTCCGATGATGACGATTATCACAAAAAGAAAGATGAATTAATCAGCTCTATTAACTTCCCATCCCATTCCATCCTGTGCTCACAGTTCATCAACAACAAGTCCTTAAATATTGTGACTTTCACCTATTAGTAATATCAGATGCATTATTTACAACTTACCATCAATTGATATTACTATAAATTATTGGTTCCTAATCACTGCATCATTGTATAAACATGTTTCCCAGTGATATCAGGAGCATTAAATTATCAACGCCATCTTTTTTCTGACAGGGGATAATAATGACGAAGAGGAAGTTGTGGGAATTATAAAATGAAGTATTTGTAATTGGTGTCGTCAACTGATTGTCCATATTCATATACATAATAAGCATCTGGTTATGAATCAGGAATAAAGCTAATTAAAAGTAATGTAAGAGAGCTTTGACCAGAGAATATATATATATATATTTTTTAAAAAAAAACGGGAATATATTTGAAGAATGTTTTTATCAAGATCAACATAATAATAACATTGGTAATTTTAAACAAAATTTAAAAGACACAACTTTTACATTTCCCTAGTTTTCAAAACCTTCAAATGTCAGAAACAACGTTGACAAAAGAAGAACTTCATGAAGTACTTGATTTAAATAGAAAATATCAAGCTGAAATTGACAATGCCATTTTAAAGATTAAAGCTAAAATCGAGAAAAACAAAGAAATTCAAGTATGCTTAATATAATTTAGTTTTGTTTTTTTTTTATAATTGAATAAGCAGGCTTACTTACATACAATACACATATTTATATTTATATAATTATAGCAACAAATAATACATTTAAAAGAACATAATAACAATTCAAATGTTCAGAAAGAACATAAGGAATCAACTATTTATTCACCACCATTTTTTGTTGATTCAAATGGAAATGTGAGAGGAGAATTTTTTTTAATATAAATATAACATTTAATTAAAATAACGAAACCATTAATGCCGTTATTATCATTGTTATTATCATTATTATTATAAAGACACCACCTATGAATGCCACTCAAGATGGAAAATTAAGAGATTTCTCATTTATGCAAAGACATTTTAAATGTATATTATTTAATTATTTATGGTATATAGCAAACATTCCACTAATTACTTGATTTAAATAATCATATTAGGGAACCAGGCTGAAAGAGATTCATTGGCCAAAGCAATCGAATCACAAAATATGAGACTAGAGGCTTTGATTGCAATGGGAGAGTTAGTATCAACTTAATTAATTAATTACATGATAACATTTCTATTATCGTGTTGTAGTAATAATAATTTACTTTAATGAAATATTTAAAGGAGGAGGTCTTTTAGAGATGTACTAAATATAAATAAAAATAAATTATTATACAATGTACAAAATTTGGATTGGCAGGAAATCTCAAGACAACATGTAAGCAATCCAATCCATTCATTCATTCATGACATAATACATAATAATAATATTATCATATTGTTATTTAAGGTTGTCACTAAAAATGCAGAAGAATGTTTAACACAATGGACAACACGAGATCATCCATATGTCAATAGAAGTGAATGGACAGCTCAAGAAATATCAAATCTCTATCAAATTGCAAAACAAAAAAATAATAGAAATTGGCAACTAATTGCTGCTGAATTGGGTGTTTGTGTTTATTTAACTATTTAATTGATTGATGTGTTAGTTATCAGTGTGATTTTATTTAAATATTAAATGTTAAATGTTAAATAAATAAAGACCAATAGAACGGCAGCCGAATGTTTTAAGCAATATAACAAACAATTCTTAGAACCTCGGTAATTATTTATCTATTAATATTTGTATTATTAATAAATTAATAGATTATATTGTGTGTTTTAATTTTGCATCTTAAATTTATTAACTAGAAAATGGACACAAGATGAAGATGAGCTACTCGTTCGTGCTGTAGATTTGTATGGTGAAAAAAATTGGCAACAAGGTATCGTTACAATAATATTTAATAGTATCACAATAACATTATAATAATTATGGCTATAATAATTTAATTAATAGTCGCATATTGTCTTGACAATCGAACTGGACAGCAATGTCTACATCGTTGGACCAAAAGATTAAATCCTACAATAAGACGTGGTAGATGGACCGAACAAGATGATCAAGTAAATTGATTTATTATTATTATATTTATAATAGCTCGGTAAAGCTATACACCTATACATTCATATTATTCATTTATCTAGGCACTAAAAAATGCAGTTCAAATGTACGGACCTGGTAATTGGGTGAAAATACAGCAATTTGTACCAAGTAGAACCGACGTACAATGTCGTGAACGTTGGGTGAATGTTCTAAGCCCGGATATTAAAAAAGATCCATGGACTGCTGAAGTAATCTGTCAAAAAAAAAAGTTATTCTATTCATTCTATTGATCGTATGTTTCTTTATAATTAATATTTATAATTATATTAGGAGGATGAAAAGTTATTACAAATAGTAAAAGAGATTGGTTTGGGAAAATGGGCAAGAGTATGTATGTGTATGGAGGGTAGAACTGATAACCAGGTAAATTATATACATGTACAGATTATCCATATATTTTTATGTTGATGAATTTGTAAATATTATATATATCTATTCAATACAATATATTATAGTGTTGGCGTAGATACAAAATTTTAAAGAAAAAGGCTGAGGCAAATGTAAAAAGAGAAGCTGAAAGAGCAAATGACAGATCTCATCCTATATACCCAATTAATCTAGCTTCAGCTTCAACTTTATCACAAATTATTAATGATGTTAAATATGCTGATAATAATGGTAATAATATAATATATTTATATTTTTTATGAATTAAATTTTAATTATTAAAGAAAATTATATATATATATATATATTGTAGAAATTATTGAATTGGCTGATAATGAAAAAGAAAGTGCAGAATATCAAATTTTACAATCAAGATTTCAAATGGTATTTGGTTTTTCAGCGCATGCAGGTTTTTCTTCTGATGATTCATAACAATTAATATTTATTTAATATATGGTAAGATATTTTGTTGTACTTTAAAATATATATGTAAATATGTAAATTGTTTCAATATGTACCAAATTCAACAATAAGTTTTCTAAATATTTTTGTTCGCTTATTTAACAGACAATCTTCCTTTTTTTTTATGAATCAAAAAGAAATTGATAATTCCATAACTTGAAAATTTGGGTTTTATTTTGTTAATATTTTTAATTTTGAAATGTTACTATTAAAGTATCTAAATTATTATTTCCGTAAATTACTGACTCTGAATGGATTGAGACTGCTTTCTGAATTCTTTACTTTGTGTGATTTAATTAATTGGATTAGAATATACCCAACTTTATTATTAGGTAGCAAGGTGTGTTTT